TATTTTAGGCAGGAGGAAGAAGGAAAATTCGTGGACTTTTCTTTTCCTGCTGCTTACCGGAAACGTGCAAAATGCTGTTTTTTTCTGAATGCTGAATACTACAAGACTCTGTCTGTGCTCATGGGTCCAAAAGCTTTGCACGCAGTCCCTTGCCCCCAGACAATTCCCCTGCGCTCTTAGGGCTACAGACCCGATGCTTGCTTTCACTGCCACCTTGTCTGTCTGCATTTCTTTGTTTCTGTCACAGACACACAAACCTGGAAAATAAAAGGGAAAGTTGTCAGCAGCATGTGCCTGTGTTTCAGCTGGAGGCTGCTGTTGTCACAGCACTCTCATCCTAAAGTTCAACTATTTCCTACAATCATCTTAAAAATAAAACTTTCAATCCTGTTGAACTTGTAATGCTATTATGTCTATCGTGGAAAGGACCAAGAAGCATTTTCTTGCAACTCTACAATGGCTAAATGACTCTGCATTGGTTAATGTATCTCCTTTATGCAGCAAAAGCTGCCATAAGCATTGAGATAATCTATGCCCTTTTCGAGGTATCCATCAAATGCTGTCTGGCGCATCAGTGAAGTGTGAGATGCAGCTCTGGTTTGTATAGTTGGAATAGGTTTGAATATCAGCTACACCATATCCTGGATGCAGCATTAATTAAACAGAATGGCCCTGCTTCAGGCCCCAATGGACAAGCATCCACATGGCAACTGTGAGCCTTGTCGGCAGCAAGAGATTAAAGAATTAATTGGCAGGGTTAATCTTCATGTCAGGGTTGGAAATGAATTGTTAATTTGTTTGGATGAGTGTAAAGTCCTCTCCCAGCGATGGCAGGTGGGATCACATGAGAAAAAGCCTGTGAAGCTGCCCTTCCTGGGGACCTTTCTATTTAACACCTCCCGCAAACAGACCTCTCAAATTCTTTGCCCCCGACATGCAAGACTCCTGCGCGGGGTCGGAGGAGCAGGTTGTGCCGCTCGCGTGTAAGCTCACGTCCCTGCAGACGACAGCCCAGCTGCTCTGGGCCGCGAGACGGGAGAGGGACCGGCTGCAGCTCGGGAGGGCCCCTTAGCCTTGCAGCTTTACTTTCCGATCTTGCTCCCTTGTGCTGAGCAGATCTGACTGCTGCATTGCAGATACTGGATCAGGCCAACCTGCTCTAGGATCTCAGAGTGGGGCAGAGATGTGCTGACACCAAAATGCCCCTCTTGGGGCAAGCGGTACCGGCCTTGCACAAGCATGCAAAACTTGATAGGTCTGTATGGACACTAAACCCTCTAAGACACTTCTCCACGACACTGTAGTATGAGAATCTGTCAGATCAGTTAACACTTTTCCCTTTCTGTTCTCATTTTACACTCAGGACAGCAGAATATTTTCCATTTTAGTATCCTTCTAATCTGTTAAGGCTAATGCATTGGTCACGTCACATTAAGACATGGGAGAAAAGCACTTCAGGGCTTCAATTATTTAAATGAAAATGTAACTTTTTGTCACTTACGCTCTCTTTTGTGCATTGATTAATCTAATTAGTTCAGTAATAAGAATCACTTTCTCCTCATACTCTGGTCAGATATGTTGTGACATCAAATAGGACTGGCCTATACAGAAACCTGGGATCTTTGTGCAACAATCCTGTTTAAGACCTTGCAAATTATTACCCTGTTGCCCATGCTTCAGTTCCCACCATCAGCTCTTACACCTACTCTTTCATTTTCCTTGAAGCAGGGCTGAGAAAACTCTGTTTGTGTTTCTCAAAACTGATGAACTTCTGTTCACACAACACAGGCACTGCAAGGTCTGACCTGATGATGTGTACAACAGAAGGCCAGGTCACAAATATAGTCTGATCTGCTGAAGTTAATTTTTAAGTAGTTGCTATTATACATATGCAAGATATGCTCCTCATTTTTGTAAAAGCCTTTTGTAAAAGTGTGTATATAACTATGATACAACTGGATACTGAAATACAGGTACACTGGGTACTGAAAGACAGGTACAATCACCTCCTGTTGTCTGCGACAGTCTGTGGCAAGCCACCTCTCTCCGTGCCCAATGCCTAATTTATGGGGATGCTGATTCTGTGCCAAGGCACTGCGAAATAATGAGAGTTTTTCATAGCCAAAGATATTTGGCTGGGTTTAGCCTACATATCTGCATCCTGTCTGCGCACATTGTGTGTCACCATAAATGATACCAAGTCCTGCCAGTAAAAAGAGTTGGGGGCGAATGGCTGTTTGTGGTGTTCAGGTTAAACCCCCTCCCAGAGGAGCGCTCGCTGTTGTGCCTTCATCTTCTGCCAGATACTGACAACTTCTCCTCAGTATTTCCCCACTCGTCCAGCTGCCATCCCACAAGCCCCATGCTGATGACTGACTACAATTTTCACCTCTGTTCTCCTTCTATTGAACAAGACTAGAAATGTCTTAAAAGCTGCTCTCCCCATCTGTGTGAGCCTACAGACTTCCATGTGACTCTTGGACTACAAGCAAAGTATCAATGGGCTGTTTTGCTGGAGAGGGGAGAGCAGGGCAAGGTTATCCAGAGAGGTCTGGGACAATGAGTAGAGCTAGGAGCAAAGCAGAAGGGCTGGTCTGATGTTTGGGTGATGCTTTTTGTTAGGCTGTTACAGTCGCTGAGTGCTAAGTAAAAATATGCCTGATGTGATAGTTAGGTATCCTTAAACTGACCACAGTCACTTGTTAGAGACCGGAAATAATAGTACGAAACTGTCATCAAATGACACAGCAAGTATCGTGTGCATTTGTTATAAAAATGTTTTGGGCTGCTCTGCATTCTTTACATTATATGAGGCGATCTATTTGTAGGTGTCTGTCAAGCACCAGCACTTGCTACTTTCACCCTCCATTTGATGTTCTCCTCACCCTCCAGGCAGCCAGATGGTTGCATGTAAGCCAAAACTAAGAAGGATTTCCTCTTTTCTTTTGAAGGGATGGGTGCTCAGAGATTTATCAGTAATACAGTTGTACTTAATCAGATAGAGTCTGTCCTGTGTAACTAAGGCAGCCCACAGCATGTTGCTGGCATAAGCAGCTACTCCAGTGAAGTCCCACTTGAGTTGCCATTTTGCATTCCACATAAAACTGGGCTTTATGCGTTTCTGACTTACCGTTATTAGTCTGTTGTCCTAAAATGTTAATAACACGGTTAATGTTCTACTACAGCTTTTGTGTACTATCATGTCATATGGATGGTTTAAAAATTATGGCCACTAAGTAATTTGGGACAAGACTGTCACGCTGTTTATGCCACATATAAAATTTTAATATTAAAAGTGAATGACAGGATTCATCATAGACCTAATTAGTTCTTTAGAGAATCTACTTTGTGCAGTAGCCTGTACTATGTGTATTGATGTTAACATATTATATAACCAGCTTTAGAAAACACAGCAGTCTGCAAGCTGGTTTCTACGTCCCTGTGCTCAGCCACTATCCTAAGGAGAGTGCTGAAAATCAGCAGAATTTTGCTAGAAAGCAGGCGTTTCTGCTGTGGGTTTTTTGGGGCATAGTAGAGCAATTGTTTATCATCAAATCAAATTTGCCTGCAAACTGCTCTCCAAACACTTCTTAATTGATGTATATATAGTAGGGATTTTACAAAATTAGTTAGATATTCCATTTTGCTGTTCAGATTGGTTGGTGAAGTAATGGAACATGCTATTTTGAGTTTGGAACATGCCCCAGGAGTCGATTAAACGATCTCTCTTACTCCGTACATGAATTGTGCATTTCCATGCAAACATCAGAAGTATCAGAGCCGCAAACACAAACCTGCAGTATCTGTGCTATCTCTGTATAGCAGAGCATGTAGTTTACTACCTGTTTAAACACTTAATTATATTTTAATAGACAATTATAGGGAACTATTTCTGTTGACAAACTGTAAAACTTAGTGGATAAAGTGGAATTGCTACTGTGAATGCAGTGATAGGATATTTTAGGATCATCTAGTAACAGACCTTTTAGAAACCTAAGACTGGAATTTTGAGGTTTTGCCATTTTCCTGAGTCATGACCCTTTCTGCAGGCTTCAGTGCTGGAAAACATCCAGATCCTGAACAACATCTTCACCTGGATTCTCCAAGGAGATGTTTGCTGTCTTCCCTCAGAAGTGGAAACAGGAAGAAGAAATCAACTGTTCTGTTTGTTGTTCCTCAAATGTTTGGGAGGCAGGACCCTGACAGAGACTTCATCATCACCTTTATGGCTTAGGTGAGCTATGTGGTAGATACAATTTGTCATCTGTTTCCCCATGGTAGGAGGGATTCTGCTCTGGTCATTCTGTGTTATGGTTATGAGGTTGTCCTGATCTATTTAGATCAATGAACGACCCAGTAAAGATAATCTTGTGTAAAAGAAACAATAAAATATCCTATAAGATTAACACAAAATGAGAAATCCACTGAGCACACATCCTGCCATTTCAATCATTATGGGTAAGATACCCACAATTAAGTCCTATATTACATAACTATAGGTAGGAGCAGGCCATGTTTGATAAATTTGTTCCAATTCTTGGTTATGTATAGTTCAGGGAACTAAAGCAATGACAGGTGAAGGTAAAGTTCCCAGACCAGGAGATAATTAGGAGATATGTATGTGTTCAAGGTTGGTAGAATACAGGTACTTCTTGACAGTGCAGTCATTTGTCTTAAGAGACATCAAAAGAGAGATGAACAGCACTATATAGGTTTGACACTTTTATTAACAAAGAACCCATGGGGCTCATTCATTAGTACAAAATACAATCATGTTCCCGTATGTTAAACAGCATGGTTTTTTTTTATTTTGTCTCTTTTAAACTGTTTCACAGTTATCAAAACAAAGCCCCTGCATATTGAACTTATTGTGCAAACAGTAATTATTTTAAGGATCAATTTCTGCACTAAGCCAAGTGTCAGAGAGCAGAATTTAATCTTGTTTTCACCCTTCCTTTGAAGGGCTGCATGTGCTTCCTCAGAAACACATTCTAGTTGTCTTTTTTTGCAGCAAACAATCTAAGGCCACAGTTTATCTGCAAATAATAAAAAACAACTCAAAGATTTTAGGAAACAAAAAAAAAAGCACTTTACCCTTCATGCTCTTGTTTGCTTGACCATGTTTATACCAGGCAGCACACATCACCTATCGGGTATTACAGTCCAAAAAGCACCTAATGTTTTAAGCTAATATTTTGAATTATTAACATGCAAGTTAATACACAGCCACATTACTTTTCAAGTAACAACTATAACAGTATCTGTTTAAGGAAACTATGCTTGTTCCCTTTCCAGATGATGTGAATGGAAATCCTGCATTGATTGTATGGGCACGCCATCATTTAAATCAAAAGGCATCAGAGCTACATCTTGGGACTTAAGGTAAATACTAAATTTTAGAATGTCCTTTCTGAAACACTCAAATTTTGGTTAAAGCTGCATTTGCTATACAAGACAGTATTTAAAGTTGCAAATGAAAAAAAAAACCTGCAGTTTGGAAATGTGCATCCAGTACATCTTTCACACTGATGTAAAAGTGACTTGAGGTGAAGTGCTAGAAATTAGACAATGTAAGGAAGTCATACTAAAAGACGACTAAAAATATATATCCGTGTATGCCTGTAGAAAAATCCCTGCTTCTTAAATGAAGACAGATTTCATAAAAAACCATTTAAACTTTTTTAAACTGCAGTTATTGATGAAATGAAGGAAACTTAATTACTGTTCTTGTAGGTATCAGAAAGTACAATGATTTACCACATGAAGCACCGGGTTTTAACCCCAAACCCTTCTGTTCTGTAAGACATATGAAGTAATTCTAATAGTTCAAAATCCCCTGTAGTTTAGACTCAACTGTAAACGTGCGTATTGAGAATGCTGTGTTTCTGCTCTTTGAAGTGATCTCTTGATGGTGGCTTACTTATTCCAATTAATGCTTGGCAGGAAGCAAACATTCTACTTTAAATGAAGGCAGCAGAAGGGCCAAGTAAAATGCTGTGCCTTCATTCTTAGCAGCAACAAACTTACTGTTCTAAATGACCTGAGGAAGAAAACATTAAAATATTGCACCAAAACAAAATTAAACAGCAAAACCAAGGAAACACACTAACAAAAAATAGTATGGATAGCAAATGACCAGTGCAGCCCCTGACAATAGATCTCTAGACAAAAATGCAGGAGTAATGAAAAGCTTTGTGCCATTACCAGAGGATTTTGTTCCCCCGATGTCTGCTTTCACTTCAGCTATAAGCTATGTCTATTCTGGGTATATTTACACCTCTCCCTATGTCTCCTATCTCATTCACTAACCACAGAAACCATTTAGGGTCCCTTTTAGAACCTTGAAGTATACTGGAGCTTTAACAAGACTTTTTTTTGGTCTCAAATCTGACCATAAGTAAATATCCAAACCAGAGGTAGGCTTATAAAGGCTTCTGAATAAATAAGTATTGTCCATTTTGCTAAGTATACCTGCTGCTGGCAAAAGGATTCTCCTTTGCCATGCTTCTCCTTATCATGCTATCCATAGGCTTAAGATGCAGAAAAAGAACTCACAGTAGAAGAGGCTAGAATAATTCCCTTAAGAAATCCCTTGAAAGAAAGCATAGTGCATAAGCTCTTATCAAAGTTCAATTTTCTTTTACATACTTGTGTCTTTCATTCAGTACATGGTTGCCTTCATAATATTGCGTAATAGCTATTCTGTCATCCATGATGTCTTTAGAATCATTATACATGATGAAATAGTACCACTTGGCAGTTGTTAGGAAGGGCAGGTTCTCATGAAAAACAAAGTTAAGCTAAAGAATTCACTCCACTTCTTAGTAGTGTTCCTCTCTTGGATGCAGACAGTGCAAAACTGAAGCCCCTTGAACACTGGAATCTTTTGGAAATGTTTTCTTACCCCACATTCTGTTCTACTATAGAAGTTCTCAACATCAACATCACTACGTAAATTCTTCCATAGTGTTCCAAACAAAACAAATTCTTTTCTCTTCAGAAGATCCTTACATCTCTTCCTTGTACTTTATGTAGTATATCCACTTTTTAGAAAGCATTCAGTATGTTCAGGTACTTCTTGACTATCCCAAGCATAGCTGCTCCCACAATATCCTCTGTGCAGACTAATCCAGCAGATCCTCTTCCATCACCAAACATGCTCATACCTTCTCCATTTTCCTTTGCCTTTCTCGTATACAAACTTAACTTTTGAAAAAGAAAACTGTTTCCTTCTTAGCTGCACTATCAGCTTAAGCAGCAGAAAGATTAAGACATTCATCACAATGATGCTCATTACAAATTCTCTTCAGAGCATGAATGAAACTGGCTGAATTTCTTCTACATCAGTTGGATGTGGATCAATCTACAGAGAGAAGAAAGGCAACAATTACTGCCTGTAATTCTTGCATTTCTGTATGTGGGGTTGATTTTTTTTTTTGCCATCTGACAATAAAAACAGCACCTGCTGTTTATTTTTTTACCTCTGAATAAAGAGGTGGAGGCTGAAACCGGAACTCTTGTATGTAAGCAAAGACAGGACAACACAATTGTTCCTCACAGTCAATTGGTGGTGGATAAGCAGGAACATGTCTAGAGAACTCTTCCTCAGACACTACATCAGCATAATTTGGTGGTGCTGAAACACAAGAGATGCTACTGTCAAATTTCAAACTATTCACTCACTGGAAAACAACATACATATTGCAGAATCCAAGACTGTGAAGACTGTATTTATTAAACATTGTACTACTGTCAATTTGTATGAAGCACACTATAAATACTCTAACTAGAACTATGTTTTCAGTAAGCTTATGTGATTCAGCAGAAACGCTACAGGTGTTTTTAGGGCTACTCCAGCAACAAACCTGTGTTGTATCAAGATATATTCAGTAACCATTAACTATAAGGTGTCTACCTCCAAAGTAAAATTCCCACTATCAGAAGTTACTTATTTCAAGATTCAGCTGAAAGTAGTCATGCGTAAAGAGAGACTTAAAAAGGCTGGAGTTAGGGTATCCTCACCAATTCTTTTGGATCCTGACTTAAGATTTATGTGCCTCACTTCTCACGAGTCATAGTTTAACGGCCAACATCCCTAGTAGTGCCCTTAAACTGGCACTACAGTACTATGCTGTATTATAAAGAGTTCAATATGTATTATTACCTTCAGGGTGTTCTGGCATGGTCAATGCCAGCCAACTCATATCCATACTAAACTGGCTGGTAATGCTGGAATTTCTGCTTGAAAATCCAATACATGGAATAGTGCCAATCACCAGAGGCATTTCAATCATCAATTTCTTAGCACCAGGAATATGGATATACACCTATGTGACAACCCCCAAATAAAAGAAAAAAACATCGTGAGACCCCACTGAATTGCTAGGAGCTACCCTACTCCCTACACTGCAGATTGTTTAAAAATTAGGACTTCTCATCCCAAGTATGTTTAGCTAGTACTCTGGCAGCTTTCCTTATTTTCCAGCAACTTCCATCTTTCCGTACCTTGTCTCTAGACGACATTAAAAAAAATACAAAACGGGTTGACAAAAATAATTATGCACTTGATTTCCAGTCCTATCTTCCCATTGCTGAAAACAATTGCTAGAGGAACCCATTCAGCTTCAAGTACCTTCCCCTAATAACCTCTGGAGATCTAAAACTAAGCTGCTTCTTCCTCAGAAACATTCTTCCATTTACCCCATTATTCCGATCTTTCAATTTCAGAATCTCTTAAAGATCTTCAGCCTCTCACCTATATGGTATTTATTTATATTTATTGTTGTTCCCAATTTCATTATCTAATAGCTGCCTAGTAGAGAAAATTTTTATGTTCCCAACTCAATGTAGTATCGAAGAGTATGTACATTTGTAATTAAAATCCAGACTTACAGCTAATGAGTATTCTACTCTAATAATACAGCAGTCAAGTATAGAGGGGGATACAGGTGGGATTTTCAGAGTTTTCCCATTCCAGGTATCTGTACTCCCAGAGGCAATATGGTTTCCTCGGACATTGGCAACCATTTGACGAAAAGTCTTTGTCTTCCCACTGGCCAGGTAAGTTTGTGTTTGGAAAATGGCAGCTTTTGGAACAATCAAGCGAGAAGAGCAGTTCTCAATTTCTGCATAGATTGGTATGGCTTCCCCTTAAAGACAGAAAAAGTTCAATGAATAATTTGTAATTACCAACTTTCCTCTGGGAGTATCAAAGCATGTTATGCAGCACGTACATCATCTGCAATGTTATGAGAACAATACTTGTTAGTTTCCTCAAGCTAAGTTTTTTTTTCCAGAGTGGTATCCAGGCAGAATTATAGACACCTACTATGTTTTACATATAAACAATGATTCATTTTGAAACATTTAAGCATAATATGAACAAGCTATAAAAGCTTTATTTGCAAATTATGCACCAATCTTCTTTTTATATAGTACTAACTGAATTTCAGAATGTTTTCTTTTATTTCTTCAATATATCTAATGTTATCAAGATGACAAAGAAGCTGCTAAAGCTCATTCATACAGAAGCATAAACCTGCACAAACGGGACATAAAAACCTTATTACATCCCCAATTAAGTATTTTATCCCAAATAAAAGCATTTTGTTGTTCTTTAAACTCAAATGTACATGGTTTTTCCATAAGATTACGAACTAACAGGACTTCCCTTCAATTTATATTCCCAAGGGGGGAGTGAGGGGAAAGGCAAGATGATTTTTGTTAAAGCAAGTTCATATAGATCTCAGTTTACTACCTACTAAACTGTTCTTTCAACTATAAAGCGTTGGCTTCACAGAGATAAAAGCGCCCTATGAGATGTTTAATATTCACGTTTTGAAGATAACTACTCTTACCATTACAGTATCCCTTCCTCTCAATTTTGGCACTGAGAGACACTGGCCCAGAGGTGAAAAACCAACAGCCAACCATCTTCTCCTGACTTCTTAGAACCGGTGTCTATAAAATATAGAGTATTTTTTCATTTTATGGCATAAAGCTATCAGTCACTTGCAGTTTAATGTTAAGCATGTTAGTCGTTGCAATCTAGCTCCAAAATGCTCCTATTTGCATCACTGTACTACTCGGCTATCTCAACATACGGTTGTTTTAAAATCCCAGTCTGCATTTAGACCATATCCACTAGGGAACACAGAGACCAACGCACTTTTGAACATAATCTGTCTTCAGAAAGACTGATTGAGCAAATTTTAGAGGTGTGACTTTTTAGAGGTCTAATGGAGTACTGCAGTATTTACGCCCACATTCCTCAGTGCAGAAGAATGCTGAATCAATTTCATCTGCAAGCAACTAATAGTTCAGTGGGTGAAGTGTTTTCACCTTTGTATCCTTCACAAGAAAGGACAAATGTATACACACTGGGCTAAGGTGATGCATCTTCTTAACTTGCAAGCCACACAATCCCTGAGAAATTCAGGCTCATGACACAAATCATCTTAATTATTCAGTGTGCACTGTCACGTTAGATGGCTGTACACACTCTCTGTAAAGTTTTCATTAGATTAAGCTTACAACATACAATTAAAGTACACATGTTAAGGGTCCAGGCCAGGATTCAAGCCACTTACAATGATTTACTAGGTAGTAGTGCCCAGTGAATGTAATTATGAAGTCTAAAACTTGGGGTGTTTTGTACTTTTTTGGTGGTAGCCTTGAAATCCATTAAGACCCACACTGCCCTTTTTCTGTGCTCCACAGCCCTCTCCTGTGCAATAACATGGTCTACTCTACCTTGCAGTACCTGGATATACTGTCTTCATACTCCTAACATACATTGTTGAATATAAAGACTGTATTCTGCTTACAAATGTCACTGCCAAAATACTTCTCCAAGTTCTCTCTAGAAAAAGATTAAAATGTAAGCATATAAAGGAAAAAAAACCCTGCTCAAAACATCTCTTAACTATGTTCGTATCATGATGAAATGTTAAAATTATCCTAGCATTTTAAATAAAATAGAAATTACTCATTCATATTTAAATGAATAACCACTTAGATCCAGTTGCTATCATGAAAGTGCAAGGTATAATTTTATATTATTTTCATAATATGGGTTGAGATAAAAGACTCCGGCTCATTAGCTTCCATCTTGCCTATTTTCTCATTACTTAATGCCTGATCTTTCTTATTACTCTACAGTATTTCTAGTGATTATTAGAAACTCAATGCTTTAATGTGGCCAAATCTGTCATAAGGAAATAACTGAAAAGATCTCTGAAGCAGCTGCATGCACACACTTAATGTTAGAAAACGACATGCAAAATGGAAGGATACGTAACATAATGGCCAGAGCATAAATGACAGGCTGGGCATGATTAATACTCTTCTGTAATTACTGTTCCTCAACCTACTATTATTGTAGAGTTTAGGACACTGCAGCCCTATGAATGTAGTTGCTCTGGTAAGAGTAACTACTTTACGCTTGTGCATTATTATTATTAAGCTTTATTTATGCATCTGAAGCCTGCATAACTTTTTGGCAAGAGCATCTCTGCCAGCAGGGATGTAATCAATGGTATTAAAAAAAGCCACTCTGTTTGCTATTCACACAACCTAAGATCATCTATTTATAGAGAAAAGCTTAGGGAGCTTACATGCTTTCAGAAGTCAGAAAATGACACTCCAGAATAACATGGAAATGGTTATGGCTGGATGTGAATGCTTCTTGTAAATGGTTTTTTTGCAGCTGGCTTTAAAGGGGGGGAGGAGGAGTGGAGTACCCTCTTACCAATAAAGCTGGTGAGCTGACATCAATATGGCTAATGACCTGAAGCTCCGTCTGTACACTCTGATCAGGTGCCGCAGGCCTCTCCAGAACTGCTTTCACATAGTACTGGATGCTGCCATACTTCCCAGTAAAAGAGGTCACCAGAGGTCTGAAAAAAGCAGTCATGAAAGCATTGCCATAAGTTTATAATTCAGTTCCAAACATGAACCCTTCCTGCGTACATAAATGTTTACCAATTTACAGCATGTACTTTTAGGGCCTTAGGGAAACTGAAGCAAACAAGGTATGTCTAGGTGGTGGTTGATTAAGACAAAAGTATAAAGCTGACCTATCAGTTTGATATTAAAAAAACACAAGTCAAACTACAATTAAGTTAACATTCCACAACAAACAGCATCCAGTACAATCCCTTCAGGTTGGATTATTTAACTTACTCTTGAGGGAGCTGAAAGCTGAACGGAAATTCATGTCTTCCATCTAGAAGAGTTAAGCTTTCCTCACCTGTAGGATACAAATGAATAGTATGTTTTAGTTATTCCACAAATAGAAGAACAAAGCAGACGCTTTTATAAATTATTTATGTATAAAAACACCCAAATACAAGGGACTAGGAGAAGTTTTTCTTGATCCCAGTGGGTTCTGGATGGGAGCCCATGCTTTATTTATGCTGTGATGTGATTTCAATGAAAAAATCACGGAAACTTGGAGACCCTGAGTTTCAGTTCAGGACTCTGGCCAATTTCTAATCCAAAATGGCTTCTGGAAAACATGAAGTAAGTTTCTTTTCCTCTGCAGCAGGACAGCAGTTAATCTATTTTTTCAATTAACAATTAAACTAAGTTTTGTGCTAAAGAGCTGCCATTTAAAGTCAGTGTTATGAAATACTATTAGTATATGTAATCTTTATACATTCATAGAGGGCTTACTATTACACAGTTTTGAAGGCCTACATTTACTTTTCCTACAGATAAACTTGAGAAGCATTTCACCCTTACAGAAGAAAATGCCACTTCCCTTTAATTTTTCAATTCTGCCATAGTGCTGCACTGTCCGAATGACAAAACTGCCAGCTAGAGACCTATGCCTATGCGACAAAGAGCTTCCTCTGCTTTCATAAACCACTGCAAAAGGAGGCCAACTGCTTCGAGTGTCTTCCACGGGCAGCTTCCAGACGCCTCTTACAGAGCACAATGAACACGCAGGTGCCTAACCTTTGCGGGAAACCAACGCAGAATGGAGGAAACTATAAGAGCTGCAGACTTTCTTCCGGCCCTGTTCCGCATTTTTCAGCCGTTTATACAAAGAATCAAGGGGCCACTCGCTGAAGCTGTAGCAACCCTCCCTCCCGGGCATCCACGTGAAGGCTGTGGCTGCGCCAGGAAGAGTTTACCCGTGCGGGAATGATGTCCCCGTTGGCCGGGCACCTACCCAGGCCTCACGCTGTCTCCCAGCATCCAGGTCCGATGCTGATTTCTCCCCGGAGAGGGTTTCAACCCTCAGCCTTCCCCCTCTCTGCAAAAGGCAGGCGCCTTCCTGCGGCGGGGTGCCCCGGGGCCCCTCGGCCGCCGCCGGAAAGCAGGTGGGGTGGGGACTTGGCCCCGAAGCCCTTCCCCGCCGCCTTCCTCCGCGAAGGAGGCGCCACTCCCCCCGGTCCCACCCCCGCTGTCGCTGCGGCGGGCGGCCCCGCCGCCCCTCACACGGCGGCCGCCCGGGGTGCCTCCATTCAT